CCCAAGTTTGGGTTTCAGTCTGTAGGGTTGAGGGTTCGGAGAACATGTGCTACACTTCCGGGCGGATTGACAGAAGCCCTGTTGAACCAAAGGTCAAAGGGTTTAGGGTTCAGAAGGGTTCTGGCAAAAGGGTCAAATCCCAAAACAAGCCAACCCCTTGAAAACCCTGAAGCCCTAAAACCACACACAAGCAACTTGCGCTTGAACCCTCATAAACCTTAGTAACTTAAACCAGACACCATGAGACCCCGACAGCAGACAGCGACAAAGCATAAACCCCGAATAGTTGTCAAAACTCTTAACCCGCAGCACCAAGTGGCCTGAAGCCTTTAGAACCTGAAGCCGTTCAAGCCCTAAATCCCTCAAACTCCCACAACCTTAAACATTTTTAACCCCTTACCCGCCCCCCAAAGCAGACAACCACCTTCCCAACAGTGCACGTGCACCCTAATCCTCTTTAAGCCCTTGACCCCCAAAAGAACAGACAAGCAACCTGGAAATCCATGAGTCCGTAAGCCCTCTCTCCGCAAAAGCAGACAACGCCTCAGCGTATGCCGCCCTAACCTCGACAAAATCTCTACTCACAAAGCAGACGTGCGCCCTCGAACTCTGTGCATTTGAGCCCTAAACTCTGAGCCCTTCAAACCTTTTAAGCTTTGAACCCTCTAAACCCTAAACCCACTACCCATTAAACCCTGGATGCTGAGACCCGAAACCCTAAACCCCAAACCCCAAACCCTAAACCCTAAACCCTGAACCCTGAACCCTAAACCCGAAACCCTAAACCCTAACCTCCTGGGAATAGACAAAAGGCAGGTCTCGCCCAAGTGGTGGCTGAGTGCTCCAGCGAGGCGTCATGTCGTACATGGCTTTATGTACCCTAAAACCCTAAACCCCAAACCCTAAACTCCTCCTATATTCCCGATCATGGTATATATGAACTATAAGCCCATGTAGGGTTCGTTTGGTCCGCAAGCTTGGGGAGGCGTTGGGTTTAGGGTTTAGGGTTTAGGTTTTGGGTTTAGGGTTTAGGGTTTCTAGGGTCTGTTCCCTAAACCCTGAATTCGAGACCCTCAACCCTCAAGGCTGCTGGGAGGGTAAGTCTTGGGTTCGCGGAGTCTGTTCAAGGGTTCAAGCCTGAACCCTAAACCCTAAACCCTAAACCCTGAACCCTGAACCCTGAACCCTGAACCCTGAACCCTGAACCCTGAACCCTGAACCCTGAACCCTGAACCCTGAACCCTGAACCCTAACCCTAAACCCTATGGTTTAGGCTTTAAATTTTGGATTTCGGGGGTTTAGGGCGAAGCCCGGAGCCCGAGGGTGTTGTCAGGTAGTTTAAATCAGTTTTTTTGCGCAGCAGATGCCCATACCGACATGCTCAGCCTAGGGCCTCCATGCTTGCAAAGAAAATGGAAACCCCAAAGCCCTAAACCCTAAACCCTTCTCCAAGTGGATGGGTATATAATCGGCATGACAGTACCCTAAACCCTAAACCCTAAACCCTAAACCCTAAAGCCTAAACCCTAGACCTGGGCTTATCAGGAGCTGCGAGTTCCTCCCATGCCTGGCTCACGTTGTTCAAAGACAAGCCGGTAGGGTTCGGCATGCTGAGTCCGCATCCTTATGCTATTTCAACTTTCAACTTTCTATATGTATGTAATAAATAAGTAAATAGAGATATATAAATGTATATATACTTCCTTCGAATACATATAGTTACCTCACTAGCAAGTTCTACAACCCTGGCGGTGCTCAGCGAATGCTCTGAAAGTAGGAAAAAGTGATACGTGATAAGGTATTGTACTCAAGACACTAGCTCTGAAAACGTAGCACGGGTCAATTACATGCCCTTCTCCTCAGCCAAACTTTTCCTGCCCAACAAGACCTCGTTTCTTCGGTGTTGACGGGAAGTTTAAATCAGCCTTTTGCTCAACGGATGCGCATGTAGATGCGCTCAGCCTAGTGACTGCATGTTGCGAAGAAGCTGGAAACCTAGTATATAGTCGGCATGGCAGTAAGACCTAGGATTTGGTGGGCCAGCCTCTCTCTCTCTCTCTCCTTCCATCCGTGCCACTCTCTAACACTTCTCTATCTGTACTGGTGCTACGTGCCTATTCTCGCCATGCTTTATGATTCCTGCAAACGATCCTGTACCCCAAGGTACAGGCCATTCAGCAGGAGGTGAAGGAGCTGTCAGATCCAGTGCTTTCTTCGGCAACGTGACGTGGTCGCTCTGCAACCTCGTGTGTGTGTGTGTGTGTGTGTGTGTGTGGGTGGGTGGGTGGGTGTTTGTTTGTTTGTTTTTTGTTGTGTGTGTGTGTGTGTGCGTTTGCGTTTGCGTTTGCGTTTGCGTTTGCGCTTGTGCTTGTGCTTGTGTTTGAAACAATTTGTGTTCGTGCTTGTGCTTGTGCTTGTGTTTGTCCTTGCGTGCGTGCCCGCGTGCGCGTGTTGTTATCGCCGATGGATTGAGGTCGAGGCAAAGTGACATAGTATCTCGTGAAGAGCACTGTCGCCTGGGGCTCCCAAGACCGTCTTGCTTAATTCAAAAAAGGCGAATACTCTGTCTTCAACCATTTGAACATGTACCTCATCTGGTGTTTCGTGTGTCGCAGATGACGGGCATGCTAACTCATACAAGGTCGTACACAACTCATGCTGAACAACCGCACTTGAGGTGTGAGGGTTGGGGAGAACACAGGCTAAACCCCAATCCCTAAACCCTAAACTAGCTTCCGCTTTCAGCTGAACAGGCTTTCTCCGAATTACGTCGTGCAGTAGACCCCACAAGGCTGTGGCTCCTCGGGTGGCGAAAGAGAACTCGGAAGCTTACGCTTGCAGGAGCTGGCAGCATCATCTGAGGCACCAGGGAGGGTTAGGGCTTCCGGGTGCGAAGGTGCTAGGGATTTGGCAATCGGGTTGGGAGTACCCAGAGTCGAAGGCGGGGGGGGGGGGGGGGGGTGGGAGGGTGCGAGGGCAGGGTTTAGGGTCGCATGCAAGTTACCTCAAGATACAAAAGTTCTGAAGTCCTTCGGCACAATGAGCCCTCATTGGGGTCATGTACCCTATGCTACTATTATCCCTATCAAGGTAATATGAACCATAAACCGGGTTCATTTGCTCCTCAAGGGTGGTCTTCGAGCATCCGCTCCACTGCAGTCCGCGGGCAAGGGTCGGCCCTAGGTTTAGGGTTTAGGGTTTAGGGTTTAGGCTTGAGGGTACGCGCATGTCAAGCACTCACGGCTCACTCATGTGCCTACCGGCTCAAGAGTCGAAGCCGTTCATGTCAAACCCTAAACCCTAAACCCTAAACCCTAGTTCTGTGCACAACCATGCGTAGACTTGGCACCAGCATGCGGATCGAAGTATGGCGCCCCCACAGCAGCAACTCGGATGCTGAAGTTCTCAGCTCGCATCCTGTAGGCGCCCCCTTCCCCACCCAACCACTACCAACAACAAAAGCTGAGCTCGAAGCCATTCTTCTACAGGTTCTTCTTGCCCATATCCATGCAAGCATCAGTGTCAGCATCTCTCAGAAATTCACTACGTAAGGAACCTAGACTTCCCATTGCCCCATTGCCTTCGGCTGGAGCCGACCATGCCGTAATCTGCACAGCGACTGCCTGGTCCGCATCCCTTTTTCCAACCATGCCGACGCCATCGATGGCCACCAAGGCCGTCGCTTTGGCGTCACAGGCTGCTTTGAGGATTTGTGGTTGAGATATTCCCCTTGTACTAACAGTCCTTAAAAAGGATTAGAATAGGGGGTACCTGAACATTTGTGGGGGTTTTGGGCTGGGGTGTGGTGTTCAAAGCTCTTGAAGAGGTTGTTAAACCCGAACCCCCCTCCCATGTCGCCGCCCCGCATGATTCGGCGAGTCGCCGACAAAGATTTCAGGAAATTCTCGGGAGTTTTTTTTTTTTTGCTCGGGAGGGAGTCGGGAGTTGAAGCCAGGACCATCCGACACCCCTCCTGAACAAAGCCTAAGTTCATCACAGAGTCAGAGCCTCCGCCCATGCATTTAGCAGCGCTGTGCTCCAGCGACCGAGCAGCATCCAGCGAGTTCTTGCAACACGTAATGCCAGCAAACATCTTTGAATCCGGCGTTTCCGGCTTCCACACCTTTGAGATGTTCCAAGATGTCCCAGCAAATTCTGCATCATCCTTCGGGGGTTAGGGTTTAGGGTCTAGAGTGGTTTGGGGTTTAGGGCTTAGGGTTTTGGGTTTACCTCCGGAATTCCCCCCCCCCCCCCCCCCTTTGGCCCAACACGCCGAGGTGTATACTGTTATTCATTCTGCTTTGCGCAGGGGGTCGGAGCCCGTACTAGCACTTTGGAGAGCAAACCCCAAACCCTAAACCCTGGCAATCTGGAGCCTTGCCCGCGTGCGTGCTAGTTGTGAGAGTCGAAACCCTAGAGCAACCCTGCTTCATGGGTAGTTCTAAGTGGGATTACAAATAGGGTAACTAACTATAAATAGAACTGGCTATAGCCTCATTTCGGGCACTTGTAACCCTACTTGTGACTACCCCACGACCCTTCAAGTAAGCTCCCAGGACAAGTTTCAGAACCTGCAGCTGCGCAGCTTGCTTGACGACCCCGAGTCCAAGCCGCACGACGCCTGGGAATCTTGGGCTGTGTTTCGATATCGACGGCTATAAATCCTGAACCCTAGGGTTTAGGGTTTAGGGTTTAGGGCTTTAGGGAATCCCTAAGCCATAAACCCTAACCCTTCAATGCAGGCCTGGGAATAGTAAAGCTTAGCAATCTTGATTCCTTGGTTGTTGGCGATGTAAGAGACTGTAGGTACCGCGAATATGCCCCAAAATCATACTATAGCGTTCAACTCAGACATAGGATTTCCCGGAATCCTAAACCCTAAACCCCAAGCCCTAAGCCCTAAATTGAAAGTTTCGGGTTGAGGAGAGGTTGAGCGCGTGTTGCAGCCTGAGGCTCAGATGCTGGACAGCGGGCTTTGCCAAGGCTTCGCCGACGTGCTGACCTCAGAAGACGTAAAACCCCAAACGCTAAACCCTAAACCCTAAACCCTAAACCCTCAACCCTCAACCCTAAACCCTAAACCCTAAACCCTAAACCCTAAACCCTAAACCCTAAACCCTAAACCCTAAACCCTAAACCCTAAACCCTAAACCCTAAACCCTAAACCCTAACCCAAGCCCTCCTTTTGCATTTTTTATTCCGTGGGGACGAATCGTGAAGCCTGAAAGGGTGTATGGTTCATATTGCCTCAATAGGGATAATAGTAGTATAGGGTATATGACCCTCAAAAGTTCCTTTGGTCCCCAAGGTTACATTCTCCGCGACGCCTCTGCGCAAACAACAATGTGCAGCTCAGGTGCGGATCCAGATGTCCCTGCCATCGAGCGCAGAAGCTGAGGAGCTTCTGCTGTGATCTGTGCTGCACCATCAGTGCTTGGGGGCAAGGGTTTAGGGTTTACGCTTCAGGGTTTAGGGTATGGAGGTCTTGGCAAGTTGCTGCCGAACGTTTAGGGCGCCGAGATTCGAAGATGAGCATCAAGTCTGGTTTTGATTACTATAATAAGGGGTCGGAAGAATTATGAAGAATAATATTCCCCTAATTATGGTCCCTCTGCAATTTACTAGAAGAACCCCTCACAATCCTTTTCTACTATTTCAGGCACCTGCAGTAGATGTGGGAGGTTTTTTTGGGGGCTGCTTGCTTCCCTTCATTGGGAACAAAGTAGGGTCCGCAACAAGAAACACGAGCGGGATAGATGCGGTGTGGCTCGCAAAAAGAAGGAGATGGCAATGCGGACCTTCGTCATACAGAATGAATCATCGCCCGTGACCGCGAAATTTCAGCAGTGATCGATGCGTTGAAATGCCTGGAATTGGGGGTTCGAAGCCAGAAAGATCCGCTTCTACTACGAACCATGTCAGCCCCCAATGGTAGGCAAGCGCTACTTGAAGGTGACTTATAGCTACCCATGAACCTCCACGTAGAAGTCTAAGGCATGGCGTCGAGCGCCTGGCAGAAGCGTTGCCAGCCAGCAAGAGTGGCACCGCCTATGCGGCCTTCTACAAGAGCGGCTTGGGCACACAGACCTTGGGGACCAAATGAACCCAAAAAATGGGGATCGTATACCCTATACTCTATGAAGGTTTATGAACCATAAACCCTTTTAGGATTCATGTGGTCCTCAATGGAGATGTGAGCTTAAGCTTTGAGTCGATATTTCGGGCCTTCAGAGCTTTGCAGGTAAAATGTCCTGGTAGAATAAGGGTCGAGAACATCTTGCACAGTTCATCCTGATTGCACTGCAGTTCGCAAGCGACACGCGCAAGGCGGATGTTTGCAAGGGTCTTGCGGCAAGCGCGAATCACATGAACCTTTTGGCATACAGATACGTGTTGCAAGATTGGCATGTCAGGGTTCAAAGAGACCAAGTCCCTTGGGGACCAAATGAACCCTAACATTGGGCCTCGTGCCCTGTACGACTACAGTCCCTATGAAGGTAATTTTAGGTATATGTGCCATAAGCCCTTTTAGGGTTCATAGTTGCTCCTCAGAGAAACCCTTAACCCTGAACCCTTCACCCTAAACCCTAAACCCTAAACCCTAAACCCTAAACCCTAAACCCTAAACCCTAAACCCTAAACCCTAAACCCTAAACCTCAAGGTCCTTTGAGTCCTTTGTTCCAAGGCTTCGGCTGGGAAAGCCCCGCCGAGTACTTCACAGCAATGGGTGAGCAGCAGGCTCCTCGGCATGGTTTAGGGTTTAGGGTTTAGGGTTTAGGGTTTAGGGTTTAGGGTTTAGGGTTTAGGGTTTAGGGTTTAGGGTTTAGGGTGAATCATACGTCCATGCCAGCTCGGTAGGCCCTTGGGACATTTCAGATTTTTCCCTCATGTTTTAAGAGGATCATATTCAGGAATATCAGGAATATTTTTCAGAGGGTGTTAAGGGCCATCCTAGCTAGGTATTTGTTGGATGAGCTGTAGTAGGTGGCATGAGCAGCTGGCACAAAATATGTCACCATTGCTTTGTTGCGTTTTCCTCAGCGCCTCGCCTTCAGGTGATGCTGGTAGACGTTGACCACAACGACTCTGATGACCGGCTGGCCATTGTGCTGCTTGCGTGCCAGGCATGTTCACGGCGTCGTACCACCCCACCCTGCAGGCTTTACACGCAACATAAGCTCCTTAATGCTGCGCCCCCAAGCCCTAGTGATCCAGAGCCGAGAAAACTGCGACACATTTTCGAAATGGTTTTCCTGAAGCCCTGTGGTGAATCATCCTGTGACGCGTGCATGTGCATAATGGCATGGCAGTTGGAGGCAGGGGCTGAACATGCTTTTCCTTGCCCACTCCCCTGCTTCCTCCTTGGTCGCGTGATCAAACTACGCAAGGATCTTCTCCCATTCGTTGCACCTAGTAGGTTGAAGGGTTTAGGGTGTATAGGGCCCAAGGCCTATAGTCCTAAGCCCAGCCCACGACATCCCCAAGAGGTGGCCAGTGCCAACGCAGAGAGACGGCTCTCCACGCCGGATGCTGCTTGCAAAGTCTACTTGGACTGCAGGCCTTGGCAAGTAGGGAGCCGGAAGTGGCTCGGGTTTAGCGTGTGGGGTTGCGGGGTTTAAGTTTCTGTTTTTTTTTGGGGAGGGAGGGGGGAGGGGGCGGGGGGGGGTGGGGAGGGAGGGGGGGGGGCAGGGGGGGGGGAGGGGGGGGGGGGGGTGGGGGGGGGGGGGGGGGGTGGGGGGGGGGGGGGGAGGGGGGGGAGGGGGGGGGTGGGGAGGGGGGGGGGGTATTCAGGCTAAGACTGAGGTGATATCGCGAGATAGTTCGGGTGTATCATGAGCCATCTGAACAGGAACTGGCTTGCAGACTTTTGCTGTGTTATTTTTGCTTGTGGAAGTGTTTTTGGCTGACATTCACTGGCGTGGAACACCTGTAAGAGTCATTCAGGCATACAACAAACTCCTTGATCAGTCTAAAAGGCTTAAAAGCATCTTGCTGCTCTTCGGGAATAAGTTTTTGTTTCCTCGGTGGCGACACCAGATGTGCTGTTTTATGACGAGGCAGGCCCTTAAGGGCTCTTGTACATATATAGAGATGTATAGATATATATATATATATATCTTTGTTTTCTGTATTTTTCGTTATTGGGTTCAAGAGGATCTTCTTTGGCAGTCTGTTTCAGAGGGTTTGAACTGCCAACCTACACGGGGGTCCTGGCTTCGCTTGGGCTGCTATTATCTGATTTTGTCAAATGTTGACTCTTCGGGGAATTTGGGGTTGTCAAAAGTAGGGGTTCCTTCTGGAGGGGGTGGGGTTCTTTATTCTTCTACACTTGGGGGTCAAAAATGGGCCACTCTGTCTCTTAGTCTTAAGCTTCTTGGTCCATGCACTCGGAGAGCTTTGGAGGACATACGAGCATTCCGGCCTGACGTTTCTTGGGGCTGCAATGGCAAGAGCTTTGCTGCAAGTTCTTGCAGTAATACCCTCAAACTGCGCTTTATTGGTAAAAATCCCCCCCCCCCCCCCCCACCAAGCCAAGGCTCTGGCGCACTGTGCAGCTTGCAGCCCGAATCTCGGCCATGACGGCTCCGCATGGTGTGGAAGTCACGTCCCTCGCCTCCAGCAGTTTTCGTGGGGATTGTTCTAAATCAGAATTCGCCGATTTTTGTGCCCCTAGCATGAAAAGTACCTCAAACCCTCAAACCTGTAGATTCTCAAGCCGGCTATCCCCTCAAGTTAAGTTCCGGCGAAACCCAAGCGAAAAGACATTCCCCATAGCCAAGATCAAGCACACTCTCCGACTTCCTTTGTCATTCACACTCTCACGCCAGGCTAGGCAATCAAAAAACCCATCAACCTAGTAAAAGGCCCGATTTGAGGGATTTATTTCCTGGGGTTCTGCGACCCAATGGCCCATCCCGGTGCACAGATACTACCGCGAGTGCAGGCCCGTCATTAGCAACCCCAGCGCGGGGTTGGAGCTGATCGCGGCATACCTGAAGGCTTGAGGGCACGTCTGGAGCGTATACTGTGCTCTTGGTAAGGAACTTGAACTAAGTTGATTCTCATACCAGGGATATACAGCATGTAAGATCGTGCCCTTCGTACTGTAACTTTTTCTAAGTTCCTTCACAAGAGCCTACTATCGGCGAGTGGTGCTTGGGTATGGCCTTTGAGCATAACATACTGTTGCTATGATGTGCGATGAGATTATTGGGGACCAAAACATGGGGGTCATATACCGTGCACTACTATCATCCCCACTAAGGTATATGAACCGCACACCCTTTTTGGGCTCATAGTTGGTCCAACGATCAGGGTAGCGTTGGCCACGTACAAGTGCTCCTGAAAGGTTCTGTTGTCTTGAAGGGGTCAAGGCAGCCATTGCCCGCGATAAAATCGCACGAATCATTCAGGCTTTCGTATTTTGAGGAAACCGACAGTAATCTTCAGACAGTTGGAACATGTTTTAACGATGATTAGAGTTGGGATTCCCTTTAGTATACCTTTTGGGGCAAGGGGATAAGGATGTTCCCAACTTTTTGGAGTTTACTGTAGCGGGTGAGCCATCCTTACCCCTAAGCCCTTCTAAACCCTAAACCCTAAACCCTAAGCCCTAATCCCTAAACCCTAAGCCCTAAACCCTAAGCCCTAAGCCCTAAGCCCTAAACCATAAACCCTAAACCCCAAACCCATGCCCAATCTTGTGTTTCTCTAAATCCCAGGCCTCAAACCACAGCACGGGTGCCCTCGAGCGTCACTACACAGTTGCCCTAAACCCGAAACCCGCTAGTCCCCTCCTCATCCTAAGCTTTTACGGTTTCGGATTTTCTGGTTTAGGGTTGAGGGCTTCACATTGTGACAAGTTTTCCTCCGCAGTTCACGCCGCAGTGACGGGGCTAGGCGGGTGGCGCAAGAATGCCCTGAACCCCCCTTGTTTCTCGGAGACCTTCAAGAAGAGCCTCAGACATGTGAAGCCATGAATGAACCCCAATTGAGACCAGGGTTCACATGGCTTGTAGGCTGCCCTGCTAAGTTCTTAGCCAACCAGCTACATGTTGCTGGCTTTCTTGTGTGTTGTGTGAGTTTTCTGGGCTTCTGGATTCCTGTACCTGTTCTAGGTTTTTGAGGTTTCATGTGGTTGGTATCGGGTCGTTACTGTGTGGGTTTTAAGGTTTAGGGTTTAAGGTTTTTACTAGGCTTGTACGGGGGTTTCTAGGGCTTTGCAGCGATGGCTTTGGGAAGAGGTCGGGAGCTACTTCGATGCGCTGAATTCCACGGCCGCGGGCGCTGGTGAAGCGCTCCGCTGCGCCGCACAGGCGTTGAGGGTTTAGGGTTTCGGGTTTGGGTTTTGGGGCTTGCATTTTGGTTTGGGTTTCGCGAGGGTTTTTGTTTTGCAGTGAGGCGCCAGGGCTTTACAGGCTTTTAAGGTTTGTAATCGGGCTTTGAATTTACAGGGTTTCAGATGGCTGTTTGGAAGGGCTTTTGGGGTTTTAGGGCTTGAGCGAGTTTACGGTTTAGGTTTCAGTCCCGCCGGGTGTACGAGAAAGTATCCACAACCACACAGACGGCCTCCGAGAGAAAGTTGCGTGAGAACAATCCCACATCGTCCCTGCAGCATCCCTTCTTGTCGATACCTTGTGCCTACACCCTAAGCCCTAAACCCTAAGCCCTAAACCCTCCATACAAACATCAGGCCATCCAGGCTGTTCCGTTTCAAGCGCCTTGATGCTCCCAACAGCCAGAATCATTGCATCGAAAGTGTGGGGGGGGGTCCGACAACCGAAAGCCCCCAACACCCCCCACTCCCATGACACCAAATCCAGAAACATCCCGACACCTTCCAGCCGACTATGACCACCTCAGAAGCCCCAGGTACTCTGAGACGCAAGAACGTTCGCGTTCGGGTTCTAAACTTCGCACCCGAAACCCTAAACCACAAACCCTAAACCCAAAGCCCTTGCTTTGGAACATTTATGTACTTTTCGTTTGTTGGGTTTAAGAAGATCATGTTTAGGAATATTTGAAGGGACAGCCTTGTCAAGGGCCGAGACTAAGGGGCCATGGAACAACCCGTAGAACCAGTCCCTGAACCCTAAACCCTAAACCCTAAACCCTAAACCCTAAACCCTGAACCCTAAACCCCTACTCTTTTTTTGGGCCCAGACTATGGGGCCATGTAACGACCCTCAGAATCGAGCCCCCGGAAGCTCGGACAGGATCTCCGGGGCCTGAGCACGGCAGCCGGTCGCCCGGTGACTTTCTCGGCGCATAGAAGAGCTTTGAGCGCGTTGAGGGTTTAGGGTTTGGGGTTTAGGGTTTAGGGTTTAGGTTTAGGGTTTGGGGTTTAGGGTTTTCACCAGGCCTGGACTCAACAGGAAAATTTGACTTGTTGGGTACGCAGGGTTGGCAGGCTTGTCCGACATGAACGTTGGAAAGCCCTACACCCTAAACCCTAAACCCTTTGCTCCCGCGCAAACACTTGTCTGTGGCCTCCTGAGGGCTTGTGTTTCGTTTTATTGACACAAAGCTTGGGATGCTCGCTCTTATACGAGCAGTCCTTAATAGGGAGCATGGCCCGCCCGAATAGAATCCCTGTTAAGGACGGTTAGTATAAGCGGGGAACATCCCAACACGCCAGGTTTGCACCATGAGATTTTGCTTCCTTGCCCCGATTCTTTGGAGAACAGGTGAGCGTTTGGATCCTGAGCGGCCTGTCCCTTGGGTGGCACAGGCTTGCAGGTCCTTCTGAGAGCGTTTTCGGGCTTTGGGAGTTAAGACCTTCTTGGGCTGAACCCTAAACGCTAAACCCTAAACCCTAAACCCATAAGCACATGACTCGGATCGGAATTAGTGGGTTGGACCCGTCCTACCGGGCACCGGTGCATGATGTTTGTCCTGGTGCACCGTGGCCTTGTCGGGTCCTGGAGATCTTCGCATAGTACAAAACCCTCATAACCCTAAACCCGAAACCCAAAACCCAAAACTAGGACCCGGAGTAGGCCCTTTATTTCCTTTTTGGGGGTTGGGGGTTCCCTTATAACCCCCTTAAAACCAACAAAGGCTACCCTTTCATTTCTAGGTTACTCCTGGGTCTAGACAAGGGCCACCACCCAGTTCTGGTGTAGCGTCGAAGAAGGGTCGTGACTTGAGTTCCCTGCACTCTGTCTTCCCGCATTCCTGAATCCTACGCTGGTAGATCCCACAGAACTGGGTCATGGTTGAAAAACAGTTTACATGTTTATGAATACTTAAGCCCTATAAGGAACAAGAGTGATCATGCATTATTAGTACCCAACAATGGTGCAGACAACCGCCCAGAGAAGGTGCAGTGCACAAGTTGATGATTTCGACTATGCCCAGAAGAAGCTTGGGATCCTTTTCACCTTCATCGAGCTGCTTGGGTTGTAGGCATGAAGCCGAGGGGTGTATGAAGGTTTGTAAGGTTTAGGGAGGGTCTAGGGTCTAGGAGGGTCTAGGGTTTAGGGTTTAGGGTTTAGGGTTTAGGGGTGGAGCTTGAGGGTTGAGGGGTGGAGCTTGAGGGTTGAGGGGTTGTGGGTTGCACATTCACGAGGCGTCATCGGTTCGGGCGTCCCCATGCATGTGTCCTGGGCAGGCATCGGAACCTTGACACTAGGATAAGGAGAACCTTTGCCGGTGCGACCTTGTTTCGTGCAGGATGCGTTTTGTGAAATTCGATCTTGAACCATCAAGTCTGCACAGATTTGGGGGCCATGAAGCCGTTGCACATCGAACCGAGACCAGCTGCTCTAACAGCACGAGTTTTTTGAAACCAAGACGTGCGCGGAAATGTTGCCTTCAGAGGTTCTTGGGCAGGATGCCCCTTGCACACCCGAATCATACCCTAAACCCAAAACCCGCCCAAACCCTAAACCCTAAACCCTAAACCCTAAACCCTAAACCCTAAACCCTAAACCCTAAACCCTAAACCCTAAACCCTAAACCCTAAACCCTAAACCCTAAACCCTAAGCCCTAAGCCCTAAGCCCTAAGCCCTGAGCCCTGAGCCCTGAGCCCTGAGCCCTGAGCCCTAAGCCCTAAGCCCTGAGCCCTGAGCCCTGAGCCCTAAGCCCTAAGCCCTAAGCCCTAAGCCCTAAGCCCTAAACCCTAAACCCTAAACCCCAAGCCCCAAGCCCGAAGCCCTAAGCCCTAAGCCCTAAGCCCTAAGCCCTGCCCGAATCATACCTCGGATGAACCTTCCATTGAGGCAGGCGCAGCCTGCCTGGCAGAGTGCCAAGCTGCCAGACGAAGCTCGCCATTACTTTCTTAGTGGATGTGGAGATGTGGTTTAGGGTTTAGGGTTCAGGGTTTGAGGGTTTAGGGTTTAGGGTTTAGGGTTTAGGGCACTATTTGTTTTTGGGGTAGGGTCCAGAATGAAGAGTTTAGGTTCTTACGGGGAACCTATAGCAGCGCAACGTGGTGCAGAGCAGCTTGCAGCAGGGCTGTTAGGCCATGCGCAATTGAGGTTTGCAGTTATGGTTGTCCCGCGCGATGTGACCACTGAGTGTCATTACTGGTGTGAGCAAGGCTGATGTCGAATTACCCCCCAAGAATGCAGCCTATAGCTATCAGACCTGATGGCACACCAGTGTATCTGAGTACGCTTGGACCGCGTTATCTTCAGAGCGCGTTGGGGGCTGATCACCTAACTTGGCACCCCAAACTAGACAGAGGAACACACCTGAATGAACGATGGCAGTGACCATGAACCTCAACCTCTGAACCCTAAACCCTAAACCCTAACCCTAAACCCTAAACCCTAAACCCTAAACCCTAAACCGAAATGCCAAGGGGCGAACGCAGCCCCATGGAGACTCTGCCGAGGCAGCGTCGGAGATCCAACCACCCTCGGACTTTCCACCGGCCGCAGCGGGGCCCCGAGAAATGGAGCCAATGCAAGGTTTAGGGTTTAGGGTTTAGGGTTTAGGGTTTAGGGTTTAGGGTTTAGGGTTTAGGGTTTAGGGTTTAGGGTTTAGGGTTTAGGGTTTAGGGTTTATAACTTAGGGCTTAGGGTTTAGGGTTTAGGAGGGTGTAGGGTGTAGGGGTCTAGGGTTGAGGCTTGATAGCCGGGAGGGTCCACTTGGGGCCAACCTAGCAAAAAAACCCTAAACCCTTAACCCTAAACCCTAAACCCTAAATCCCTAAACCCTAAAACCCTAAAACCCTAAAACCCTAAAACCCTAAAACCCTAAACCCTAAAACCCTAAAACCCTAAAACCCTAAAACCCTAAACCCTAAAAACCTTAAACAAAGACAACCTGCCCATCTCGGGAACCGTTCTGGGCGTGGCTTTTGGCTGTACGACGCTGCGACCCTAGAAGACGACGTTGGCGGTTTAGGGTGTAGGGTTGGGATGCTCTCCCTTCTACGAACAGTCCTTAGTTGGGATTATGGTACCCCCTATCATGATCCCTACTAAGGACTGTTAGTACAGGGGGGAACATCCCAAGTTTGGGGTTTCCTAAACCCTAAACCCTAAACCCTAAACCCTAAACCCTAAACCCTAAACCCTAAACCCTAAACCCTAAACCCTAAACCCTAAACCCCAACCCTCATCATTCAGTTTCCCTGAGCCCCTCCGGCGTTGGGGAGTAGGAAAACCTGAGCCCTCGACCAACAAAAGAGGTTGTCGGCCTGCAGCCCGTGGTGTTGAGTTTAGGGTTTAGGGCTTGGGGCTTGGGGTTTAGGGTTTAGGGTTTAGGGTTCGGGTTTAGGGTTTAGGGTTTAGGGTTACTAAGAGACCCTGTGGGGTTAGGAGCTGAAATGCTGTAGAGATTGGGGATTCAGATTGAAATCCCCGAAGGCCAAAGCCTCAAACCTATAAGCCCGCAACCCCAATAGGCTTTTTTCCCCTGCCTCGAACCCGATCATGCCGATACCCTCCCAAAACGCGTACATTTGCCTTGCCCTCGATAAAGCCCCCAAACCCACCCTAAACCTGAAACCCTAAACCTTGAACCCTGAACCCTGAAACCTGAACCGTCTGACCCTAAGCTAAAACCCCTTTTGCCTCAGGGTGATGAGTCCGGGTTCGGCGTGGAGCCCTCCAACATCCGCTCCAGCGAGGTGATTGCGGGGGATCCGTCGTAGTTCTGTTTTTTGTTGTTTTCGGTTGGGATGGCTTGTACGGATTATCGCGTTTGCAGGGCGTGGGTTTGGGGAAGGGTGTGGGGTCTTTTTGGTTTAGGATCTGTGCGAGTCTTGTCCATCTTTCAGTGTGCTGGCGCCGACCTCAGTCCATGCTTCAAAAAAGGGTCACAGACCTGCTCATGTCCTTTGGGCTTGCTCCCGACAAATTATCGCGCGGAACCCAGATGCAAAAAGGGTTTTAGAATCTCAGGCTCGGGATGTTATAGGTTACTATATAGAGTTCTGAGGAACTGAAGAATCAATAGCGTCACCGGCACCATATATATATATATATCTTTTATGCGGTTAGATCTCAGAATGTGCAGGACTGCTCGGGTTGTCTAAGTTGTTGGAACCCTGAATGTTTTGCGTGATGCCATGGATTCGAGACGCAAGTCCGCATGTGACAGCCAAACCCTAAACCACAAAACCCTATACCATAAAACCCTAAACCCTAAAGCCTTAGTTAAACCCTGAACCCTAAAACCCTAACGCATATGTATGCCCGGCGAGAGCAGGCATCCTACAGGGAGACGCTCCTGAACTACTTGCGCTTTCAGCGGACGATTTCGGGAACCTTGCTCGATGAGGGTTGAGAGTTCAGAGAGTTTGGGGGCAGTATTGTTTCGTTCTCAGCACGCGATCAATGTTCGCTAGAATCTGCTGGCTACAGTTTTGGCAATAGCTTCTTTGGGGTTTTTTGGTCAACTTTGTGGTTTAGGGTTTAGGGGTTTCGGGTGTTTGGTGAGGAGTCTGGGTTGAAAAAAGGGTTTCGGGTTTAGGGTGCGCAGTCCAGTTGCAAAAAGGGTGAAGAAAAAACCCTGTCAGCGCCGGCTTTCGCTGGCATGTGGCTTGCCATCTCCCCCCCGTACTTATGTGTAGCCGTGTAACCCTAAACCCCAAACCTTAATATTCAATAATGCAATACTCCCATGAAGGTCATATGATATGAAATACTCGTTCTATTGCAGTGTATGAGGAATATGTAGTCTTTGTGGGTAGGTGGGGGGGGTTAAATTCGGGAAGAAGGGATTACGAGGTTGGGGTTCAGCGGGCTTCAAGCGTGAGTCCGGCTCAACAAGGGCTTCAGGGTAGGGAGGTCCTAATTAAATGGCATTTTTGGCTTCAGAGTTCCCTAGAAACCCTGAACCCAACATCGTTGGCGTGGAAACTTGGGCCATACCGCCATGATCGTGCCCACGTCCGAACCCGCATGTTTGGGGCAGCAGATCGATGAATTCTCTGATGGTTTTGACTCTTGTCTGCAGCGAAGGAACCATCGGATGGGCTGAGCTGTGCAGGTTCTTCTGCAAGGGTCCCCTAAACCCTAAACCGTAAACTTACCCTGATTCCTAAACCTCTCAACAAATGATGCAGATAGTCTGGGGAAACAAGGCCACTTAAAAAGTTCCGGGAGTCTTTTTGGAGATCCGTGCTTTGAAGCCAGGAAGACCCCACAGGCGATGTGGACGAGGGCGTGCCCCAAAGCAGCACACAGCTTGCGTCTGTGCTGCCGGAGTGCACGTGCATTTCACGACGACTTTGTTGGTAGCAGCTAGGTGCACGGCGTTGTGACTTGTCAGCCAAGGAACAGCGAGAGCCTTGCAGACCTTGTGGCCTGCATGCAGCCCACGAGACCTGAGATCATACGCGGCATCCCTGCACACTACGCTTTGCAGCGCTGCGGTCAAGCCCTTCGCGGGCGCCCGGGGTCACTGCACCAAGTCAGCCGCGCCACGACCTGCATCAGCGAGTTCTGGTCCCACAGCTGGCACACCAGTGCTTGGATGAAGTTGTTCACCACTTGGTACTTGTACAACAGCTTTGCCGCAACTGCGATTGGAATGGCGGGTGCGCTTCTAGGCTTCATTCTAACAGTCGCAGGCGTTCTGCCGGCCACGCTGCCAGACCAAGCTATGTTCACCAATTCGCAGTGGTGCACGCTGTTGGGGACTGCCTTCTACTATGTGCCCTTCCTGCTTTGGCGGCCGATGCATCCAATTTTCCTTGAGCCTAGGTCAAAACTCAGAGTGCTTCTGCTCAGTTTTAGGGCAGCTGCCATGTAAGCGAGTCCAGAAGCAGTTGTCTTGCCGAGGACATCATCTGCATAAACCAAGAGGACGCGATGTTGAAGGGAGAAGCGTTGATCAGCATGGGCGCAATCTTGCACCTTGCCGCAGCTGGCTATGCTGTGGTACCCAGAGACTCCAATACCCCTTAGTTAAGGAATGTCCCGTAAACCATATCAGGAACCCTATTAGCCAAGGAAGAGCTCGGACTCCATGCTGGTTCTTTGGGATGCCACATGGGATCCATAGTGCCGGCATTTTGCTGGCCGCCCGTGAGGCGTCTTAACTACCCTTTGCGGAGCAGGTTGACGTCGAAGCAATACCAATACCAATACCACATGGATCCGTAGATTCTGGTGTGTCTTCGAGCTGGCATCATTTGTGTGCAGCCGAGCAAAAGGCACCAGGATAAGCCAGCATCTACGCATCCGCCCGAACCTGATGGGACCTGTACTCCTCACGGGGCATGCCGGTCTTTGTGCTCTACTTCTTGGCTTCCCTCCGTTGCTGCAAGCATTTGGCGACACCAGTGTGGCAATGGTCTTGACGTTGTGCTTTGGCCTGTTGCCATGCTTCATTTGTTTAGCTCACGTTGGCCGCGCTTTCTGCCGTAGTTTGGACACGCTGCAGCAGCAACTGGCCAGCTTCAGTCTCATGAATGCCAAGTGTTCTTGTTGCGACGCAAACCATGTTGACTCCTACACGGGTCAGCGCATCCCATGCGATCGCGACGTGATGCTGCGGTGCATTGGGACTTGGTTTGGCAGCGAGGATGTCTTCCGCGACCTCGTGCGAGGGCAATTGCGGACAGCAGTCCTCCAACAGCTGACGAACATGGGCTACCTGTACAGGCAACTTGTCGCCGCCTGCAGTCCCATAATGTGGTTGTTCTTGGACCGAACAGCAGGTCTGACTCGTTTGTCTCAGTGGTCAATAGTGGTGCAGGTGGTGTTTGATGCCTTGTCCTACTGGCTGTTGCTGCAGCTTCGTCCTTCGTGAAGTAGTGTTTCCCTTCTTCTTGTTTTTTCTGCGACATATCCTGATATATGGGAAAGCCAAGAAGTGCAGGTATGCGCATGTGTGTGCACAAAATGCAGCCAAGGATACCGAGCATCATCCTGCTGGCGCTAGCATTGGCCTACATGCTCCGCGCGAAGCGAGCGGGGTGGGCACGAGATCTGCTCTGCAGCCTAGTACCAGTAGCTGCTGCAGCATGCATCCTTGCTGGTAGCATTGCGGCGATGATTTCTATAGATATATGGCTCCTGCCGGGTATGAGCCGGGTGGCTGGCAGGATTGTGGGAACGGCTGTCTGGTCTACCTACTCAGCCTTGCTCACGCTGTCCGCCTTGTACATCTTTTGGAGGGCCAAAACATATGCCATTCCTTGTTAAGGCCAGCTGTGCCTTGGCTGGAAAGAGGCTCGCAGCCTCGCAGCCCTGGACCTCGACCGCCTTGCGCATGCGGCTGGCGAAAGTCTGGCGAAGTTTTCTCCATTTTCTTCTCAAAACAGGGGCACGTCACGCGTTGATGCTGCAGCAACGTTCGACTCACTATAGCACGGAGGAAAATGTGCTAGGAGTACTGCGCTGCTGGCTTGTGTGGAGCACTGCCATCGTCGCATCCTGTCACGCACTTCCAGCCGCAGCACGGGCTACAAGAAAAGGATTGCTGCGCGCGCTGCGAGAGATTACAGGTGAATTGTCAGAAACGTGAGACATTGTTGAACCCTGTCGGGTCCTTCCCCGTACTTTCGGGTTGAGCTTGCGCTTTAGCGGCGCAGGGTTCAGCTTGCAAGGGACATGTCGTGGATTTCAGTTTCCCTTTCAAAAATCCGTAGACATCTGTACGAGACCACCGTCACGACGACCAAGATCAATCCTCGTAACTATGCAGTGCAAATAGCAGTAGCAGCACCTACTTGGAGGTTCATGGGAAGTTATAAGTGGGGTTATAAGTAGGGCAACTACACTTATAGCTGGCTATGACCCTTGAGGCGCCGAAGTCACATCTTCGTGCTTTCTAGATCTTTCGCAAACCCCTTAATAGAAGGGCATAGAAGGGGCGTCGTGTGTACTTCTTTTCACTGGCGAAAATAGGTGCTACGCAGTTACTGCCCGCAGAAGCTCCTTCAGAACCCTAAACCCCTACAAGGAGGGACCCCCTTGCGAAACTAACTGTAGTTAAGGGACTTATAACACTCTTATAACCTAATTTCGGATCCTTAGAACCCAATTTAGGGCTCCGATAGCTCTACTTGTAACTAGGGGGCCCCTCCTTGTAGGGGAGTGAGTTGAAGCCGCTGTTGCCAGGGTTGAGGGTCTCTAGGGCTCCTAGGGTTTAAGGTCCCTGGTTGACTGCCCAAGCCCGGATGCAGTAGGGTTTAGGGTGTAGGGTTTAGGGTTTAGGGTTTAGGGTTTAGGGTTTAGGGTTTAGGGTTTAGGGGTGTGCATGCAGGCACCTCGCAGCAAGGAGCAAGAAAGGAACCAGCGGATCTCCTGAGCACTCCCGAGCTGACCGCCCACGTTCATTACCAGGGCGGGCTATTAGGCCTTTTAACCCTAAACCCTAAACCCTAAACCCTAAACCCTAAACCCTAAACCCTAAACCCTAAACCCTAAACCCTAAACCCTAAACCCTAAACCCTAAACCCTAAACCCTAAACCCTAACCCTAAACCCTAATCACTAGCATCAACCCCATACAGGGCCTTTGTAAGTTGTTGGCCAGCGTGCTGCGAAGTCCCTGGTCGTTTCCTTGCTTTTGGGCGTTTTCCTTCGTTTCTTTCGGGTTTTCCTTCGGTTTGCAGGGGGGGGGGGGGGGGAGGGATAAGAACGTCGTTCATATTGCGTCCATGCCCAAAACACTGTTATCTGAAGCGTTTTCGGCTTTTTGTACAACATACTGCACAAGAATGTGGATCAAGAAAGTCTCACAAGCGTCCATGCCTAAAAACACTGGTATTTACAGCGTTCGTATGCCCAAAACACTTGCGGGCCAAGCAACCTTGCACTAACACATCCCAAGCATGCTGTCCCAAAAAGCATAGCTTCACTAAAAACTCCCAACCATGCTGTCCCGAATAGTTTTGGAACCCGCCAAAACAGCTTTTCTGCTCCGCACCACACCGTGCCAGTACGAACGGCGTGTCGGAAAGAGCCCGCGCCCCAGGGAAAATACAGCGCGTAAACCAAGTAGTTATGGGGTATCATAGCCCATCCTGGTACCATGACTACGTGGTGGGGAGGTTTTGCTGACTTTAGGGTTTAGGGTGTAGGGTGAAACCCTAAACCCTAAACCCTAAACCCTAAACCCTAAACCCTAAACCCTAAACCCTAAACCCTAAACCCTAAACCGTCTGTCAGCGCCGGCATTCGTTGGGCATGCGGGCTTCCAGGAGCGAGTGAGTAATCCCCCCCCCCCCCCCCCCCCCCCCCCCCCCAAACATAGGGGTCGGAATAATTATCACTCCCTAATGGTCCCTTTATAAATACACTATAATAGCCCCCAAAAACCCTATTCTAATTATTCAGGCCCCTATATTACACCCCCCCTAGTACTAAATACTCCCATTGTAGTTATGTGTCAGCCTAAACTCTAAACCTTAATATTCAATACGCCCAGGAAAGTCGCATTGTATTGAATACTTCCATCACAGTCATTATACTCCAGTGTATGAGGAATATGTAGTATTAGGGGTAGGTGAGGGGGGCTTTTCGGGGGGAAGGGATTACAAGGTTGGGATTCGAGTTTCAGACCTGAGTCCCCCTCTGCTACAAGGTTCAACAAGGGCTGCAGGATACAGAGGCCAGCTTCAGCAAGAAGCTAAACTGTTCTTTTTGGTTTCAGCATTCCCCTAAGCCCGGAACCCAACATCGTTGGCGTGGCAACTTGGGCCATACCGCCATGATCGTGCCGGAGATCGAAGCTGAAAACTTGGTCTTGGGGAAGCAGATCGATGAACTCTTTGAGGGCGCTGACTCTTGTCTGCAGCGCGGGAACCGTTGGGCTGAGTGTTGCAGGTTCTTCTACAAGGATCCTCCACAAGAAAGATGCAGATAGTCTAGAGTCTGGGGGCACAAGGCCACTTAAAGAGTTCCGGGAATCTTTGGAGATCCGTGCTTTGAAGCCAGGAAGACCCCACAGGCGACGTGGACGAGGGCGTGCCCCAGAGCAGCACACAGCTTGCGTCTGCGCCACGTGCATTTCACGACGACTTTGTTGAGTAGCTAGGTGCACGGCGTTGTGACTTGTGGGTTGATCTGTGTGGAGTGGTTCCAGCCAAGGTACAGCGAGAACCTTGCAGACCTTGTGGCCTGCATGCAGCCCACGAGACCTGAGATCATACGCGGCGTCCCTGCACACTACGCTTTGCAGCGCTGCGGTCAAGCCCTTCGCGGGCACCCGGGGTCACTGCACCAAGTCAGCCGCGCTACGACCTGCATCAGCGAGTTCTGGTCCCACAGCTGGCACACCAGTGCTTGGATGAAGTTGTTCACCACTTGGTACTTGTACAACAGCTTTGCCGCAACTGCGATTGGAATGGCGGGTGCGCTTCTAGGCTTCATTCTAACAGTCGCAGACATTCTGCCCGCCACGCTGCCAGACCAAGCTAGTTTCACCAGTTCGCAGTGGTGCATGCTGTTGGGGACTGCCTTCTACTATGTGCCCTTCCTGCTTTGGCGGCCGACGCGTCTGATTTTCTTCGAGCCTAGGTCAAAACTCAGATTGCTTGTGCACAGTTTTGGGGCAGCTGCCATGTAAGCAAGTCCAGAAGCAGTTGTGTTGCCGAGGACATCATCTGCATAAACCAAGAGGACGCGATGTTGAAGGGAGAAGCGTTGATCAGCATGGGCGCAATCTTGCACCTTGCCGCAGCGAGCAGTTGGTTACGCTGGAAACAATGGAATGTCGGTTTCAGTACGCAAAGCATGACGAGTCGGAAGGCTAGGAATTAGCAGGATTCCAACCAAGCGTCGCCCAGGCCCAGAAATTCTTGTCATCTTCTTTCGAACTGTCACGGTAGGAATCCTCAATCGCCTGCGTCGTCCCGTGTGTTCAATTGGCTGGGGTGGTGCTCCATATGGGTCGCGGGTTCTAGGATGCAGGGGTCGACTCCTGAAGGCCAGGCTCCTAAAAGCATGCGAGCATTTTAAGAACAGCGGTTGTTTGATGTACAGGATGTTGCAGAGTAGCATACGAGGCTGGCCTTGCATCAGCCAAGGAAGAGCTCGGACTCCATGCTGGTTCTTTGGGACACCACATGGATCCGTAGATTCTGGTGTGTCTTCGAGCTGGCATCATTTGTGTGCAGCCGAGCGAAAGGCACCAGGATAAGCCAGCATCTACGCATCCGCCCGAACCTGATGGGACCTGTACTCCTCACGGGGCATGCCGGTCTTTGTGCTCTACTTCTTGGCTTCCCGCCGTTGCTATTAGCATTTGGCGACACCAGTGTGGCAATGGTCTTGACGTTGTCCCTTGGTCTGTTGCCATGCTTCGTTTGTTTAGCTCACATCGGCCGCGCTTTCTGCTGTAGTTTGGACACGCTGCAGCAGCAACTGGCCAGCTTCAGTCTCACGAATGCCAAGTGTACTTGTTGCGACGCAAACCATGTGGACTCCTACACGGGTCAGCGCATCCCATGCGATCGCGACGTGATGCTGCGCTGCATTGGGACCTGGTTTGGCAGCGAGGATATCTTCCGCGACCTCGTGCGAGGGCAATTGCGGACAGCAGTCCTCCAACAGCTGACGAGCATGGGTTACCTGTACAGGCAACTTGTCGCCGCCTGCAGTCCCATAATGTGGTTGTTCTTGGACCGAACAGCAGGTCTGACTCGTTTGTCTCAGTGGTCAATAGTGGTGCAGGTGGTGTTTCATGCCTTGTCCTACTGGCTGTTGCTGCAGCTTCGTCCTTCGTGAAGTAGTGTTTCTCTTCTGCTTGTTTTTACTGCGACATATCGTGATTTAGGGCAATGCCACGAAGTGCAGGTAGGCGCATGTGTGTGTGTGCACAAAATGCAGCCAAGGATACCGAGCATCATTATGTTGGCAATAACATTGGCCTACATGCTTCGCACGAAGCGAGAGGGGTGGGCACGAGATTTGCTCTGCAGCCTTGTACCAGTAGCTGCTGCAGCATGCATCCTTGCTGTTAGCATTGCAGCTATGATGTTTATAGATATATGGCTCCTGCCGGGTATGAGCATGGTGGCTGGCAGAATTGTGGCAACGGCTGTCTGGTCTACCTACTCAGCCTTGCTCACGCTGTCCGCCTTGTACATCTTTTGGAGAGCCAAAACATATGCCATTCCTTGTTAAGGCCAGCTGTGCCTTGGCTGGAAAGAATCTCGCAGCCTCGCAGCCTGGACCTTGACCGCCTTGCGCATGCGGCTGGCGAAAGTCTGGCGAAGCATTCTCCATTTTCTTCACCATGTCTCAACACAGGGGCATGTCACGCAGTTTGGCAGCAACATTTGACTCACCAGCACTGAGAAAAGGTGTTCATAGGAGTACTGCGCTGACGGCTTGTGTGGAGCATTGGCCATCGACGCAGCCTGTTAATACACTTCCGGCCGCAGCACAGGCTGCAAGAAAAGGACTGCTGCGCGCACTTCGGGAGTTGGGATTGTTGAGGTGCTCCGAGAAACTACATAAACCCTAAACCCTAAACCCTAAACCGTAAACCCTAAATTTTCAGAAACATGAGCCCTGTAGGGGTCCCTGCAGTCCTTGCCCATACTTTCGGGTTGAGCTTGCGCTTTAGGGGTTTGAGTTTCCCTTTCAAAGTCCTCAGACATCTGTGAGAGCTCTGCCAGCTCTATATTGATTCCAGCAACTGCGTCGACATGAGAAGAAAAGATTTTCCAGGCTCCAAGACAGGGCAGGATTGGTGAGTTAGTTGTGCTGCCTGCTGTGAAAAGGAGATTAGGGAATACATTCAACCACGCGCTGCACGTGGCAGTTTTTGAAGTGCGAGACTCGAAAGCTACACCACTACTTATCAACCCCAGTCAGTTGCACTCCCATGTGCTTCTAGCATAGCTTATAGCTTATAGGCATTTGCTCCCAGGCTCCAATGCATCTTTTTGTGGCAGACCTTGGTAAGATCACGGCCGACAGCACAGTGTTCCAATGTTGCACAAGGCCATGGAAAGTCACGCAAACCTCTCCCATCCCCAAATCGGCCGAAGCCCTTGAGTCTCCGAGCGTTGAGAAGCCTCCGAGCTCAGGAAATGGTGTGCCTGTGCAGTACGCAGCCTGGCCTCAGCAACTGATTCACCTTTCGAGCGTCGACCGCGCGTGTGGGGTTTATGCGTTCAAAAACAGCCCAAATTCGTAGGGGGTTGTAGGTTTGTATGTTCCCCCCTTTTTCTAACAGTCCTTCATGGGGATTATATTAAGGATTGTTAGTATAAGGGGGAACATCCCAATTTCTAGGCTTTCAAAATTCCAAGTCAGGTTTTTTTTTCTCGGTCACCTGCCTAGCTGACGTCACAGATGCACTGCAGCGCAGCTCGCTTGCAGGAGCGCCGGTCTCTGCTTCTGGCAAGGAAGGCCCTCCTAGGGGAACAGATGAACCCCAATTGGCGGGGTCCAAAACATTGAAAGCCCTGCTAAGGTATATGAACCACAAGCCCTTTTAGGGTTCGTTTGGTCCCCAAGGCAGGGGCGAAGTTCAGGCAGTGGAGTTGAGAGTCGCGACGGTTGCAGCGAGTGAGAGAGAGGGAGAAGTGGCCAGCGCGGTTGGCTCTCGTCTTCTGTGAAAGGGGCGGGAGTCAAAGGGTTGCAGAAGAACAATAGGCAGTTGACAGAGGCCAGAGACCGACAGAGAGAGAGAGAGATAGACAGAGGTAACAAGCAACAACAAGAAAACAGCGCAACGAGAGAGAGATGGGGCATTGGTCCACGATGTCTTGTGTCTGATGTATTCACTGCCGCCGCTGTCATTCCCTTTTCCTAGGTGGGCATATCTCTTTTCTTTTTTTAAATGCCTTATTGGGTTTAAGAGGATCATATTTAGGAATATTGTTCATGTGGTTTTAAGGGCCATCCTAGTTTCTGTCTCGCACATGACTTTTTGTGGCAGCACCTGGGGCGTCATGGTTATTCCAATGAGTATGCATCGGATTAAGGTCCTGCAACCTTATAAACCCAAACCCTAAACGCTAGGCCCTAAACCCTAAACAGACCAACGGACCTTGCCTGTCTTGTGCGAGAGTGAGCGACTAAACCCGAAACCCTAAAGCCTAAACCCGAAACCCTAAACCCCAAACCCTAAGCCCTTAGCCCTTAACCCTAAACCCTAAACTCAAGCATGGTCACTTGCAGACCTCCAGCTCGCCCAAGGGTGCGGCTGTGTTAGGAATGGCAGCCTCCTCCTGCCGACCCGGACACCAAAAACTGTCAAGCCGAAACCCTGAAACAGAACACCGCATGCCGCCGATAAAGGTTTGTTTCAGGGTTTTGTGGGTTTTTCTTAATAGCTGAATGAGCACACTTTACACTTTTGGATACTGTAATCCCCTATAGAACTGAAAGTGTACATTTTTTTGGGGGGATTATGAGCTCAGCAACTCAGATGTTGCCTAGACCCGAGAGCCCTCTGACTCAGGTATGTCCAGCTTTGGCTCGCAATGACGGCTTCATGCCTGCTCCACCCGGCGGCACCATGATCAAGGTAGCAGGAAGGCCCTTCAATGTCATACCAGGGAGACTTGGCAACTGGATACTATTTGTTTGGACATTTATCAGACAATTTTGTTAGACATGTTTTAGACATGACAATCGCAATAATGTAGTTTCAGGCACCATCCCCAAACCAAAAAACGTTTCGGGGCTCCACCGCTACCAGGCTCCATACCGCGTAGACATCGATCCTAGCATCGAAGATTCTGTCGCATTGTTAGGATCTATATCTACTCGACATAGAGGTTGGTAACAGTGGGCGCAACATTCACAAAACCTTGGTGCGGCTGCATCAGACCATATAAGCATGAAAAAAGGCCTGTATATACATAGCTCAAGTTGAGGATGTGGTTGAAGCTGAATATGGCACATCGAACTCACCGAACCCGACCCCGTACAGTGAGCGTGCAGCTGTGACGTGCAGAGTGCTTATTCCACATGCCTCCATTGAAGCCCCAATCAAGTGCAGCACTGGCAAATGACCATCAGCCCATCAGCCGAGGAAGAGCTATATGATCAAGAAGGCCCGCGACCCAAACCGGGCTCAACATGCCTTCATGAACCTGCTCTCCACTTCCAAGGCCGCTCGGCTTGCCTCGTCCGGTTCACTTTTGCAGACCATGTCGGCGAACAACCGCTTCATGCTAGAAAAAACGCGGTGATGTCGTATGTGAAAGGTACATATACGAATTCTGACGGCATGCAAGTGTCAGTGGGTTGATATACCAGGTGGCCCTGCAGACCCTGGAATGCCCCAACCCTACGAGCAAACCTGCTCTACACCCCTTAACCCTAAACCCTAAACTCTAAACCCTCAACTCTAAACCCTATACCCTCCACCGGCAACAGCTGCAGGCCCACGCCTCACCGTCGCTGTACGACGAGCTGCCCCCCTGCCGCACCATGCCCGTGCTCAGGGCCCCAGTGGAGTACCAAAAGTAGTTAGATTTTAGGGAACTCTCCTGGTTCCGATGCCCCGAGGTGTTGCGACTAACAGGTACTCTCCCTGTCGTACGTCAAGCGCATGGAAGTCATGGAAGGCTCTGTTCTGTTTAGGGTTTAGGGTTTAGGGTTTAGAGTTTAGGGTTTTGGGTTTTGGGTTTCAGAAATCGATGGTCACACCTCTTGTATGAACAAGCGCCGGGCAGGCAGGCTTGGTCTTTGTCAGGCTGCCTTGCCGCAACCGGACAACTAAGGTGCATCGATAGCACTGACGACTTTGGTGCCGACAGGCCTTTACCTTGAACGCTGTTGCGGGTCCGGCCGAGGCTTGTAAGAGGATTTAGGGTTTAGGGTTTAGGATTACAATGTTGAATGCCAAATTCCTAGTCCTGACTCCAATTCGGACATCTGCCGCAGCACTACTCGGTGGACTTCTTTCAGCCTACTTGGAGGTTCATGGATGGTTGTAAGTGGGGGGTAACTCTACTTATAACTGGTCAGAACCCTTTTGTAGGGTACTTATAACCCTACTTATAACAGCCCATGAACCTTCAAGTAGGGATACGGAGTTTAATGAGGGTTGAGGGGGTTAAGTAGGGATTGCCAGGTTTGCAAGGTTTGCATTCAGGAATGTATAACTTAAGTAGGTCTCAGTACTGGATGCCCCATAAAGATTCCTGACAGGCTGCGTAAGAGACCGTCACAAACCAAATGTGAGCAGAGTAGAGGCTGCTGGGTTTAGGGTCCATAAGGCTAGAGTTTAGGATTCAGGGATTAGGGTTCAGAGCTTAGCATGCTTGCCCACGTTCTCATTCAGCCCTTTTCTTCAGAAGGCGTCGCTTGTACTGCAAGGCTCGAGACGCGGTAAGGCTCTCAGCCTCGAAGATATTTGGACACTTGGGGACGACATGAACTCTAAATGGGGTTTAGGATTGAGGGTTTAGGGGTTCATAGGGGTTCATAGGGGTTCATATTCATTAATAGGAGTTATCGTAGTACACGGTGTTTGACCACAATTACAGTGTTCATTTGGTCCTCAAAGCACCCTAGTCTCTCACCTCGACATAGGGCACGCAATCTACGGACAACATGCAGTGGCATCTTTTCTAGCAGCGTGCAGTTCAGTGTGCGGACAGCAGCCGAAGTAAGCATAGTGCACCTGACGGAAAAAGATGGCTGGAGCAGGTGGCGCGGTTGTTGCCGCAAGACATGGTGGTGGTGGATGCTCTAGTCGGGGCGGTGGGAGAGAGTGGGGAGACTATGGTCTACAGAAGTATGTGGACCGTTACCGGGCAGGATCCGAGGGCTATTACCGGCCCTTCCGTGAAGCGACCAATGAGGTGGTCTCGGGACCCAGGGCCGAGTTGCCCGCGTCAAGGGACTACTCGCTGGATCGTTCGGATACTGCCGCGAAGGAACGCAAGAAGAGGGCGGAGATGGCCAAGATTATCAAGAAGTATGACAGGAACCGCACGAAGAAGTTGGAGCGGAAGCAAGTAATCAGGCTGCTCACTGATACCGACTTCTCCACTCCTCCAGGTACTCAACCGAAGAAAGAGTGCGTGGACTTTTTGTTCAAGCTTTGCGACACATCCGGGGATGGTGCCATAGATGCCTCCGAGCTTGAAGAGATGCTTGCGGTGTGGCAGACATTCACAGAGAAGCGCGAGATCTTCGAGCAGAAGCTGAAGCAGTATGATACTTCAGGGAATGGAGCGCTGTGCAAAGACGAGCTGCGCGCATATCTCGCGGACCTCAACGCTGGAAACCCGGTGCGCGATGAAGATGTAAACTGGATAATGAAAGCAGCAGATGTCGTGAAGGATGGGGAGTCTTGGTAGGTCAGTGGCACCCTTTCTTTTTCTTAGTGCAAGGTTCCCTTATAAGCCTTATAAAGTAGCCAACCCAAGAAAAAGGGTGCTCTTATCAGACTATGGTTACTGGGCTGCCAAGGAGTTGGGGTTGATGGAGATGTCCATGGCCACCTCTATTTGGTACGGACACGTAGAACAGAAATATCGTAGTCGGTGCTGCTCGATTTGCTAAAGGCAAACTCAGAGAGGCTCTCAACCCTGGGGAACACATGAACCCGAACAGGGTTTATGGTTGATATATGGGATATGTGACCCCAATTCTAGGGTTCTTATACCTTAAAATCGGGATGGTAGTAGTATAGGAGATATGACCACAATTTTAGGGTTCATCTGGTCCCCACGGAAAGAGCAGCGGCGCCAGGCGTTTCACTGCCAATCGCTCCCGATCCCTCCCCCCCTCTGATATGCAGTCCCCTCACGGCTGATTTCAGAGCATCCCCCCAGAAAAAAGACAAATGCATAAAGTCGTTCAGCCGGCTTTGCAAGTGGTAGAAGGAGCCCGCACACAACGACCCTGGACAATCCTGCGTCTTTAAGCCCGTAGCCTCAACCTACATTTAGGTTTAGGGTTTAGGGTTTCCGTGGTGACGCCTGCGTAGGCCGGAGCTCGCAGCTGTGGTCAAGTACGGCACCCTGGCCAAGGGATTGGCTCTAATTTCAGGTTCTCATTACTTGGTTTTGGGCTCCTTATTATCAGGGCATCCTAGTACTTGGGGTCTAGTTTAGGGGCCCCCTGTTGTCGTAAACCCCCCATGTAGGGTCTTATTCGGCCGGGAGAAGGCCTTGAGCATCTTGGGGTTTTCGGAGGGTTTCGGCTCGTGGGCCCTCATGCAACCCTAAGCCCTAAACCCTAAACCCTAAACCCTAAACCCTAAACCCTAAACCCTAAACCCTAAGGGCCACGAGTGCTTTGGAGCCCGACTCGCTTTCATGAAGCACGGGTCTGGCGAGAATGCACACCCTAAACTTGGGAGGTTCCCCCATATACTGGCACTTAATAGGGAGTTTAGGGTTTAGGATTGGGGGTTTAGGGTTTAGGGTTTAGGGTTTAGGGTTTAGGGTTTAGGGTTTAGGGTTCCAGTAAGGACTGTTAGTAGAATTACAGTACTCCCTATTATAATCCCCATTCAGGACTGTTAGTAGAAGGGGGGACATCCTTCATCAGGATTACAGTACTCCCTCTTATAATGCCTACTAAGGACTGTTAGTATAAGGGGGGACATCCTTTACAGGGATGACAGTATTCTCTATGATCATCCCTACTAAGGACTGTTAGCATAAGAGGGGAAGCATCCCTAAACCCAAAACCCTAAACCCTAAACCCTCAACCCTAAACCCTAAACCACGAAAAGTTATCGTAAGCTCCGAGACATGGCACTTGGGGTTTTTCGCGTTCCGCACTTCGAAGCACGGTCCTTGCAGGGGCGGCTTCTATTGCCACAGTCAGAACTGCTTAGGGTTTAGGGTTTGGGGTTTGGGGTTTAGGGTTTAGGGTTTAAGGTTTAGAACTGCGCCCGCACACAACCCGCGCAAGGTCTGTGAGTCCTGCTGGTCTCAACCCTCAAAGGGTTTGTGGTTCATGTTCTTTAGTGGGGTTATAGTAGGATAGGGTATATGACCCTAAAAGGGTTTACCGTAGTAGGGGTTATAGTAGTACCTTGTCTATGATCCGTTGATACTCAATTTCTACACATGGATTCTACCAAGCACGGAGGCCCATCTTGGGAAACCTCCGACATCCGGTCCAAGGCCGTAACGGAACTGAAGCTCTCTGAAGCCCGCTATTGTCCCATCTATACAGCCTCCATCCCTAAACCCAAAAAATCCTGAACCCTAGAACAAATCCTAAAGTCCTAAAGCCTAGAATGATCTGGAATGCCTAAACCTTGCAAACCCTAAACCCTTGCATGCCTTGCCGTAGCCTCAGTGCATGTCGATGTTCATGGGACCTTGTCGCTCGTCACCGGGGTTTAAGGTTTAGGGCTACAAGGGTGCCCCTTAACGCCGATTTCCCCAACAAAGAAGGATCTCAAGCACAAGGTGTCCTGCAACCCTCAACCTTATCACCCGAAACCCGAAACCCGAAACCCGGAACCCTAAACCCTAAACCCTGAACCCTAAACCCTAAACCCTAAACCCTAAACCCTAAACCGAAGCGCTAACGTGGAACCCCAACCCCAGGCACCTTCATGGCTGATGCGATCCTCGTCTGCCTTGCAGCGCGGCCCGCGCGCTTGATCAAGAGCCAGGAGGCACTGAGGCGCGAAAGGCGAAGTTGAGTTACCTTACTTAACAGGATGGGCTAGTATAGCCTCTCACCCCTCAAAAAAAGGCCCTTTGTAGGGTTGATTTTATGGGGATTATAGGGCCTAATAGCCCATCCTGGTAGCCAAGGGTTGAACTTTAAGTCTTTTGGGTTTCCCTGTTTAGTAGGCATAATCAAGCCTAACCTTTTTGGTCCCCTTGGTCATTGGAGAAGTAAGTTTAAGGTTACCTTGAGAACAATATGAACCCTAGAGGGGGTTGTGGTTCACATAACTTAGTAGGGGTGAAAGTGGTATAGGGTCTATGACCCCAATTTTGGGGTTCATGTGGTCCCCAAGGTTACAGGATTTTGCGCCTGTGTTCAATTGCACATGTCTCGCTTGGGGATGCTAAAGGGTGTAGGTAGGATGTCTGGGTTCTCCAGAAGCTTGTGTTGGAGTTTACACGGCCTTCCACAAAACTTTGAATCTACAGTTGTAGTTGCGTTCTCTACACCCACCCACCCACCCACGCGGGTCCCGATTCATCGAAACCCTCAACCCTAAACCCAAAATGCTTAAGTTGGATTTGGGCGACCACTACCGCCCAAACGACCACAAGCTTTAATTACTGTATATATGATTATGTTGTGATACAACAAGGCTAACAACCAAGACGTTATGAGAAGGACAAGCCAATTGCGAACGTCGTAGTAGTTCCCAGACCTCGTCGTTGGAGAGGCGTTTGGCCTTGATGCTGGTGCCGAAGCCTGGATGCTTGCGTCTGCAGATAAGGGTTTAGGGTTTAGGCTTTAGGGTTGGGATGTTCCCCATTCAACTAGCAGTCCTTAATGGGGAGTATAACAAGGGGCACTATCATGTTTATTCAGGACTGTTCGTACAAGGGAGAACATCCCAAAATAAGGATTGATGTAGGTCCAAGATCCCCGCCAAAGCCTTAAGCCCCTAACACCTGCTTAGGGTTCAGGGTTTTGGGTGCAGGGTTTAGGGTTCAGGGCTTAGGGTTCAGGGTTTAGGTTTTGGGGCAGCAGCAAGAAGGTAAATATGATGATGAAAATCTGTGGGGTGGGCATGCAGAAGTATCTCCTCGATTGGGGTTCCCGAATGGACTTCGCTCTTGGATATCATCTATTTGGGTTTTCTGCAGCCACACGGTTCTTTCCTATGTTGGGACTTTAACCACCATAATTGTTCAGTGTGTATATACATATACACATATATAGGTACACATGTGTGTAGCAAAGATTTCTAGGCCAGAGCCTGGAAACCCCTCCAACCCTTCCATTTCTAGAGCCTCAGGAAGTAGGCGGTGTTGGGAGTTGGCGGCTTGTCTCGGATGCCTGCAAGCCCAAGAGGCAGTTTAGGGTTTAGGGTTTAGGTTTTAGGCATCCCAGTTCTGAAGCAACAAGAACCCACGGGCATGTGCTACGACTCCCGAAGATTCATATGAAACTGTCCTGCAGCATCAAGGCACGATTGACGACCTGGTCCTCACATACAGCGTCTAAGATGCCAGGGAATGGATTAGGGTTTAGGGTTGGCAGGTTCCTAAGCCCTGAACCCTAAACCCTAAACCCTAAACCCCAAACCCTAAACCCTAAACCCTAAACCCTCCAAAGGTTTCGGGTTTAGGGCGGAGGGCAAAGTCGGGGTTTGGGGACATGGACCTCGCAGCCCAGACCGCGGGAAGCCACAAGTGGCGCATGCCCTACACAGGATCTGGGACAGGATGACTTGGAGGGTTATACCCTAGAAGTTTCGGGTTTAGGGGTTTAGGGGTTTAGGGTTTAGGGTTTAGGGTTTAGGGTTTAGGGTTTAGGGTTTAGGGTTTATCCACAAGCGCTGCTCACAGGCAGGGCTAGAGGGTTAGGGGTACCCTAAAGCCCTTAAAACTTATTTTTGAACCCTGAATCTGTTGCGACTCTGCCCAGCCCAGCCCAGCCCATACTCCTACACTAGGGAGAGTGTTGCTATGTCAAAAAGGGGTGATCCCAGATTCAAAAAGCCCGAAACCGCAAACCCTTAACCCCCGCCCCCCCCTAATTTGGAATCAACACCTGTCCAGAAGTTCGGCGGGAAGGCTTTGGCCACCTGGAGACAAAGGACAGCTACCCAAGAAACAAATAGGGTTTGGGGGTTCTTGTAGTCTTTTTTTAGGGATCATAAGGGGACACTCGTCTTATGTATTCCCACCCTATATATGGCTCCCCACACCGCCGAAACTCCAGCAAAGCCCTGAGCCAAGAATCCTGTTGCTGGCCTGTTTCACCACGTCGGAGCCAATGCGCTGCTCAGAGGTTTGAGGAACGGCAGGTTTTCTTCCCCTAAGCCCTAAGCCCTAAACCCTGGTACTTGGTCGGGCCACGGAGAGGTAAAAGAAGGACAGCCGAGATCTTGTTGGGCTGCATACTGATACCAAGACCTTTGTGGTCTGAAGCCGCCATGAGCGATTTCGGGTTTTGGGGTTTTAGGGTTGGCGTTTAGGGTTTGGGGTTCAAGGTTTGTCAAAAAGGATTCAGGGTTTGGGTTTTGGGGTTTAGGTTTAGGGTAAGAGGAATTCCCTTTTGAGGACGTGGGAGGCTTATCCTCATCTGTTTCTGGGTTTAGGACTTGGGGTTTAGGGTTTAGGGGATCCTGCGACGTTTCCATTCTTTGTGTTACACAAGGGCCATGTTAACTTGGACATCTTCTGCCAGCAATTTGGAGGGCCTGTGGCAGTGCGGTGTAGGCCGTCGGGAGAGACCCTCGAAGACTGCGCGGCCAAAGCCTTGCTGAAAAGAGATCCTGCGAGCCCGCTGTCTAAACCATTGGGGGGGGAAGGGGTGATCGAAACCAATACACCTTCTCGGTCCCCGAATGGGACATGAAATGTACACGGCAGATGGCCCCCAAAAGGGCTTAGCTTCGA